TCAATGCATAATGATCAGTCAAAAACCATCAGCTCCAAATGATCAGTTCAATCCACAGCGCATAATGATCAGTCCAAAACTATCAGCTTAAAACGATCAGGTTTCGTCGTCGGCAGCGCGGAATAAGAGCAATTAATCGGCCCAGGACGAATTAATCCTTGGCGGCTCATGCCGAGACGTCGTTTAGGTTTAATTGCGACTCATGCTTCGGAGCACGCATTTCACTTTGCGCACATCTGTCCTCCTCCGAGCTTATTTTTGTGACGGGTGACGCGATGGGTTTGCAGCTGCAAACCGCTGACCATCGGTCAGTCAACCAGAGCTGGACGAGTCTCTTAAATGCCGCCTTAATTTCCAGTAATTATCCTGCGCGATGCCGACCAATCGCGCCTGGAAGCTCGATTCCGCCATTTTCGAGGTTAATTGAATATGTCTTGTCTAAGCGAGAGCACTCGCTTTCCCAGAGAGTCTGAGGATCGAAAAAATTCCCATTATATACGTCTCTATGGAGTCCAGGGTTCAAAATTCAAAAATAACACCGTAAAGTCAAAAATTGTTTACAGACTAGTAATCTATTAGCTAATGTAGATTTTTATTTATTTTCTATTTTTTAGGACATGGGATAGAGGCAAATAAAAAAAAAGAATTACATAACGTCTCTAGGGAGTCCAGGGTTCAAAACACCGTAAAGTCAAAAATTGTTTACAGACTAGTAATCTATTAGCTAATGTAGATTTTTATTTATTTTCTATTTTTTAGGACATGGGATAGAGGCAAATAAAAAAAAAGAATTACATAACGTCTCTAGGGAGTCCAGGGTTCAAAATTCAAAAATGTCACCGTAAAGTCAAAACTCATTGTGTACAGTCTAGTTATCTTCTGGTTACTGTAGATTTCTATTTATTTTCTATTTTTTAGGACATGGGATAGAGGCAAATAAAAAAAAATAATTGCACAACGTCACTAGGGAATCCAGGGTTCAAAATTCAAAAATGACACCGTAAAGTCAAAAATTGTTTACAGACTAGTAATCTATTAGCTAATGTAGATTTTTATTTATTTTCTATTTGGATAGAGGCAAATAAAAAAAAATAATTGCACAACGTCACTAGGGAATCCAGGGTTCAAAATTCAAAAATGACACCGTAAAGTCAAAAATTGTTTACAGACTAGTAATCTATTAGCTAATGTAGATTTTTATTTATTTTCTATTTCTTAGGACATGGGATAGAAGAAGATCGAAAAAATTCCCATTACATACGTCTCTATGGAGTCCAGGTTTCAAAATTCAAAAATGTCACCGTAAAGTCAAAACTCATTGTGTACAGTCTAGTTATCTTCTGGTTACTGTAGATTTCTATTTATTTTCTATTTCTTAGGACATGGGAAAGAAGAGGATCGAAAAAATTCCCATTACATACATCTCTATGGAGTCAAGGGTTCAAAATTCAAAAAAGACACCGTAAAATTAAAAATCGTTGTGTCTAGGCTAATTATCTATTATCTAGGGAAGATTTCAATTTATTTTCTATTTCTCATTCCATGAGATAGAGACTCATAGAGATGTATGGAGTCCAGGATTCAAAATTCAAAAATGACACCGTAAAATCAAAAATCGTTGTGTCTAGGCTAATTATCTATTCAAAATTAAAAAATGATACCATAAAGTCTCAAGAAGGGATATTTATAGCAAATACAATTTGAAGAAATCAATGCACGTCTCGAGAGAGTCGAAATGCTGACACGTGATTGAAAAACGTGATTTCGAGACGGGGAATTTGTAGCAAATTCCAAGAGTAACTACCGCTCGTTTCGACTTTAACGATACTACCGGAATTTTATCTCGAAAGGGAGGGAAACTGGAAGACTGATTAGTCGACCTCTGTAAGGAGCCGTCTAGAAAAGCATTGCATTCCCTGCAAGAGCTAAACAGCATTACTCTGTTGGAAGAAATCGGATATCCCAGGCAACCCATGAAGTATAATATACGTAAATTAAACGTCTAAATTAGGTCTATAGGTGTAGAAAATTTATATCGTTCATCATCCACCCAAAAAAATATCTAAAGGATGTATATGAATATCTATAATATAACATATTCCTAATATGGACCCAGGCAATCCATGGAGTGGAATATACGTAAATTAAACGTCTAAATTACGTCTGTAGGTATAGCAAATTTATATTGGCTATTATCCACCTAGAAAAATATCTAAAGGATATATATGAATATTTATAATATAACATATTGCTAATATGGACCCAGGCAACTCATGAAGTATAATATACGTGTAATGGCACGCGTAATAAAAATATCCCGGGAATACATATGTAAATCTTTTTCACGCCTTTTATATATATTATATATCATGTCCGGACATCTAGCCTTTGAGTGTATGTAAAATAGAGTTCATAGATATCTATACACATCTTATATACGTTCAATAAACATTTATATACGATTAATTTACGGATGTTACACGTTCAGCCGTGCTTGGGATTCTAGTCAGAAGACATTACAAGTACTCCATACAAAGGAGATGTCCCACTTTTTCACGAGGAATGCCCGATACGAAGTCCAGTCTAACTCTTTGCACAAGTGCGGGGAAAAGTACTTTCCCTCGATGTGAAGTGCAATCGGAAGGAATCGACTGGCAATCGATATGTCTTGGGGGGGAAATCGTAATTCGATATCCTCGATATTCGTTGCATTGCACTTTTACCTTATCGTCTTATGATATGAAAGTGTGATACATATAATATATA